TTACGAAAATGACTTTTATTCAGTACCTGCATCATCAGACTTACCAGCTTCCTGCTGTTTTTTTTTCTTTTTTTAATTCCCAGAATCCAAATTTTAAGCCATTTTTTGAAAATCAAACAAGCTATGAGAGATGTATAAGTTTGTCTGCACAGTAAAGCGAATAAAACTAACCCTCAAAAATTAGCACAATATTGCTGCAGCAAAAACATACAGACAAAAGTCAAAAGATGAGAACAGCGGCCGCGTTGGAGTCCCTTGCTACTGCCAAAACACGATGCATGAAACTCTTGTTTAAAATCAGCAAACAAAACAGATGTAAATGAAAGCACTGCCTTACCGGGTAGGATGTATATATATATGTATATATTTATATAAACCTGTATGTATATATATATATTTATAGATATATAAAGTGGGTATGTGTGCAGTTCACTCACACAGACTTAAACAAACAAAAGACACAGGGACACGATTTGATGTCAGAAGCACATAAACACCTCGGCATCTATAATAAGCAACTCAGCTGCACTCTGGACGCTTACATACCGGATTTCAAAACATATGCAAACATTAACATTCAACGGTATAACAAGCAGCACATATCTGCAATGTAACATTTAAATTGTATTCTTTTATGTTAATAACAGGTGGCTCTCGACATAAAACATGTCGCTACACGTTTCAACACTTCAAGAAGTGCTTCAGCAAATGCCGAACTATGCTTCGCAACTTATAACGGCTTTTTAATGCAAACATTAGAAAGTTCTCGCTCCCAATATCAAATTCTGATTTTCCATGCACATTACAGAGCAACTGTAGTTTTATTAAACGCAGCACCTATGCGAATTTGACAGATTCGAAGTGTTAAATACTAGCACGTCATGTTTAGTAAATGTTAGTTTTGCTGACTGTACCCTCAGTTTCACATCCAATGAGGTTCTACACCGCAGCCGGTGCTGCGTCTCACACGTTGGTAATGATATGCTGTTTTCAAAAGTTTATGAGCGGACGTAAGCCACACACCACGAGATCAGAAATGGATGATTTGCACAAAGCCAAGATTCAGAAAAGCCTACTGCAAGGAACTATGACAATTTATGTTAGAATTCGGGACAGATTTCAAAAAAAAAAAAAAAGTAGGCATGTTTGACAACGCCCAGGACAGAAGCAGATAAAAATTTTGATCTTAGAGCAGGAAAAGACAGTGAATCAATCATTTTTGCAAAATATACTGACAAGGGACTGGGCACCAGGCAATGATTCACTCCCAGCTGTACCATCGAACACGTTCAGGACGTCCATTGCGAGGATGAATGGTATAACAGTTTCAATAGATAGACTGCCAAGTAGACCTGAGAAAAACAGCTCAACAAGGATGGTCTGCTTGAACCATCGCATCGTCGGCAGAAGCAGTAGCAAGTGACTGTAGCGTTCAATCGCAGTGTACATTGTTGAAGCTGCCGCCGCTCCGGAAGCATAATCATTTTCAGACGTGCTGTCCTCACAGTTCGCTGCTCCGGTTGACAAAATGTGCTCGTAAAGCTCCTGCAATGCTTGAGCGTGCAGTGCCCGGACAGCAGCTTCTGTTGAAGAGCCGGGGAGATCTGCAAGCAACACACTTTACTACTGATTTCAGAAATTATGCAGTACGTCAAACCGCATACCTGAAGCCAGAATTAACAAACAAACCATTTGCTGTGAAAGAGATTAATTTCAGATATGCATATTCCATCGATGAGAGCTTCAGTTCTTCGAATCGCTGAACCAGCTTGAACAAATAGCCTATTTGTTCATTCACCTCCTCAAAGCGCTCCAATTTCAGCTGACCTGAACCAAAACCAAACACTGAGAATGCACAAACCCAAAACCAGAACACGAGGCAATTCGGCTCACTAATTGCGAGAAAATTCTGCTTTGATTCCCACAGGACGTTAAGAAAACTGCTCCTCCCAATCAAACAATTCGGAAAATGCTACCCAACTGCACAACTTAGCATCTTAATACGCTATATACTAATCCAGGCATCCGAGTCAACGTGCACGAGACAATCGTAAGGCTCCTTGCATTCTAGCTTCTCCCATGAGCTCCGCTGTTTCCCGACGACGTCTTAAACAGTGTTCATTCGATCAGTGAGTAATAATCAAGTGAAAGCATGCAGCTACCTTAGATCCACCAACAGAGGAAGGTATAAAAAAACCGCGACTGGTTCTTACGGTAC